AAGTCTCCCGGAACCCTGAAGTCTGCATGGTCAAACTGAAGGCCAAGACCCAACTCTAGTCACCTAGCTTCTCAGACCCCCACAGCGGCGCCCCGCCCTCTCCCCCCCCCCCCCCGCCAGGCAGCAATGCAGTGAAGCCATCTCTTGTCTCCCAGAGGCAACATTAAACCCCACTCAGAGGGCTGGTTTTAATTGGCTTAATATACTCGTTAATAACCGCCTCTATTTAACGCACCTGTAAAAGGCCCATAACATTAACTTAATGGCAGCTACAGTTCGCCCACCCGGCACTTCCTGCCAGCCTTTTAAATCTCCAGACAAGCCTTTAATGGGGGCTTCGTGGATGGAGATGGATTGGAGGAAAGACAAGCAGGGAGAGGCAGCCCAGGTCACCCTTGCTCAATGCCGTCCCTGCGTGTCTAACCTTTCCTGAGAAACCAGGCAGTACCAGGAAACAAGTGACAGGCACGGTCTGTGCATTCAGGCCCTGCGACGGGAAGGGAAGAGCAGAGGGCGAGGTGGCCAGTACCTCCAATGTTGCCCTGAACACACCTCCAGAAAAATCACTGTTATCAGTGGCCAAGGACACAAGGAAGGTGGGAACTTTGCCCGAGACCCTCTGGGGCTCACACAGTGTGAAGCCAGTTTACTACAGGCTCAGAGAAGGGCAGCGGTGCACCGCGGCACACAGGGTAGACCCGGGACTTAAAAGCCTGTCTGTCACCTGCCTCCCGACTCAACACCCTCCTCACCCACTCTCCCCAGCCAGGCCTATTTAATACACTCAAGATGGACACGTCTGTGTCCAGGATTAACCTGTTAGGGCCCTCATAATCCCATCAGCCTTTGTACCACCAGCTAGGGACCAAACCTCGGACACATGGCCTCTCAGGGGATTTTTATATCCATCCCTGGGGGCCCTACCCCTTGGACCACACACCCAGATGACCACAGTGGCCGGGGGCCAGGAAGTTTGTTTCCCCAACATAGAGCTCTCTGGTTGTTGGCCCCTCTGCTCAGATCCAATATGGCTCCCTCTCCTTTTCCCTTAGAGGTTACTACTTCACTGACCTCTGGGTCCAAGCCAAGAGCCCCTCCAGCCCACCATTCAGGCCACCTCACTGCTGATTCCCAGCGTGGCAGCGACATGACAAACTATCCCAGGAGTTGACTATGCCCCGGGCAGGACGGGGTGGAGTCTTTCCCAGAATGTTCTTAGGGATGGAGGGAGAGACACTTAGGTCTTCTGAGTGCAAGATTCTTGTCTGTGGGTCTCAGTGGAGTCAGTGGCCTCTTACAAAGTTCCCACGAGTGGTATTGTATACCTTTGATCCCAGCACTCGGGAGGCAGGCCGTCTCTGAAAACTTTTGTGAGGTTTACATAGTGAGTTCCTGGACCCTGTGTCCAGACAGACAGACAGACAGATTAAAAAATCAACTCATAAAAGCCACTCCTCTGCCCACCCACATTACATTCTCAGGACACTCAAGCCACGGACCCAGTTCATGTCAGACAAGGGAATCCGACACCACTATTTATGGGAGACAGGCCCAAGAATGAAGACATGTCCATCACCCCTGTCAGCCTGCCACCATCTTGTTTCTGGGCTTTCTGCTGCCCGTCACCCCCAAACAGGGTGCCAGTTCCTTAGCTTGCTGCCTGCATAGTAGAGCCCAGGAAACGGTATCTGGCAGTTGGGGACAGTGGGTAGGGGTTCAAAGGGGATAGGCTCAGGTGTCCGGTGTCCGGCGGTCCCTTCCATGATGAAGATGCCAGGATGAGATTCCCCAAACCAGCTGGCCCTCCTCTTTACCCAACTGAGGAGCCCGCTGCCAGAGTTCCCCAGCCCCTCTACGAGGACCTCTCCCTATTCCCTAGGGCCCCGTGTTTACCAAACAGATTGATGGCATGAGCGCTTGTGGCTGGGTTTTCTCCACAGAAAAGTCTGGAACTTTGCCAACCTGGGCCCAGAAGCCAAGTAGCCCAGGGCCCCAAGCCAAGTCCACTGCAGAAGAGGATTTTTCAAGAACTGGGGGATAGCCAGAAAAATCTTTTGGGGACCAGGGTATAAGGCAGAGGCTACTGTGTCAATGTGTGCAGAGGCCATGATTTAAACCAGGTCTGTGATGGGAGGCCCCAGCAGCCCCGCGATGGCCATGCCCTGACAGAGGCTTACCAAGCACCAGCCAGGAAACAGTGACGGCCCAAGCAGTCTCTGTGTCTCTCTTCTTGAAGCTAGATAGTGGCCTCCTAAGGGTGGCCCCAGCCCCTCTAGGCCCTGCCTGGGGTGGAGTGCTGACCTAGCTCTAACCTTGGCTGGCTGTAACCTCTGATCTTTTCACCTGTAAAATGGAGACCCATGTGTCAGACCTTGTGGTCCTGTGGCTGATGGGACTCAGAAAGCCAAGGGTCCCTGATCTTCTTCCAACAAGACTCAGAAAGCCGTTGCCCCAGCTTCCGGTCATCTCTGTAGCCTCTCCACAAGGTCCCCTCGTGACTCTGTTGTGGGAGAGCCCCATTCCTTCCAAAGGGTCTTACTGATGGTCTAAACTTTGGTCTAAACTCCAACCCTGTCTGTATGGGACCTGGGGACTTGCAGGGGCTTGGGTGGTTGGGAAGGCAGGTCTCCAGGCCGGCTGCCACTTGTCACACCCACCCACCCTACCTACATCACAGGGATGCATTCCCCACCCCTCTCACTGTTGTCTGGCCCTCCATACACAAGCCACTCAGAAAATGATGAGTGCAGAGCCTGGCACGCAGTCACTGCCAGCAGAGAGGCTCCAACCCTCTCCCTCAGTGCCAACCACCCCGCAGGACGCCCACTGACCAGAAGGGGGCGAAGTGCTCCCTCTCTCGGGTAACAAGACGAGCGAACAATCTCTCCTTTTTCCTTAAGGTTTTGAACACCTAATTTATTCCATCCATTAGATAGATTTTGTAGATTTAATCATTTTCACAGTTGGTGGCTCATTGGATACTCAAGATAAACTCGGAATGAAAGCATAATGCCAGGGACAAATGAGTTTTCACACCACAATGGCAGACGCTTGCCCGGAAAGAGAGTTTAAGGGGAGCGAGAACACACATGGATATCATTTTTTTCCCCCTCCCGGCAGCTGCTTTTGCTGAGTCTGGTAGGTTTCCACAGCTAATTTCACCAGTTTCGTTCATCTGTAAAATTGCATAAAAGTGACATTTTTTGTGCTCATTATATTGCAACTGCTGATTTATAGCTGGCAAATGAAGAACCAGTCCCTTTTTTTTGCGGGACTCTCCGAGCGGTGCTAAGTGCCCATGAAATTGCTTGTATAATGTAGTTTAAATCCAATCGCAGAGAAAGATTCCCCCATTGGCCAAAGTGACATTTCCATTCTCCACACCAAGTTTATTTTAGGCTACTTAAGAGCAAGGGATGCTCAGAGCAGGGGAGGGGTTGGATGTACCTGCTGGGCCGAGGTTAGGCCCGAAGATTGAGAGGTGGAGGGATATTACCCTGGTCCATGTTGTCACTGCCCCTTCTACATCTCACCTGTTCAATACAATCTGTAGCTGCCCAGTTCCCTGAGCAAAGTAGGGGTACTGTCCATCCGTGGGGCTGGACAGATCCCCCACGCCCAAGTCTGTTGCTGTGTTCTTTCAGGATGTGAGGCAGCCTCCCAGTCCACTGGAAGCCGCCAGTCTATATACCCATGTCATGAGAAGCACATATCCCCAACCGTTTGGAGGGTCCCGTGTAGTGAGAAGCCACTCTGGCGTGCACAGGCCCTGGCTCCGCTGCCTCTGGTGACCCTGTCTGAGAGAGCTAATTTCTGCTGCCAGCCTCCCAAATACAGAGGCCCGTCATCCAGAATAACACTAGACCCCAAGGCTATGCAGGTTAGGACTCTGGGAGGACCAGGTAAGAGGCCTCCAACAGAAAGGACCTCATGGGTGTCCCTCTCTGGTGAGGCCCTGCTGATCTCTCCGAGTTCTGCCTCATGCACATGGACCTTCTAAACCCGCCCAGATCCCCGTGGAGGCGGCCTTCGGAGCAGCATTGCCTTACTTGTACAGATGAGGAAAGCGAGGCTCAGCATGGTGAATCCCTTTCCCTAGACTCCCCAGGAGTTACAATATCCTAGCTCTGCTCTGAGCCTCACCCCGCTGGGCCCCTTGGGACATATGGCCAAGGTCACACTGCTGACCCAGCACCGTTAGCATCCCCATCTCACAAGTGGGGAAACTGAGGCCGGTGTAAGCAGACAGCTTGCCCAGGACCACACAGCCTACCTAACCATGCTTCCACCCCAATCCCTGCCCCCCTGACCCCTGGCCGTGTCCCCCTGCCTCAGAGGAAGCTGTGGGCTAGGCTCCAGTTTAGAATGGCTCAGGGTGTCAGAACCACCCTGACCAGCAACTTCCCCCCCCACACACACACCTGTGGCAGAGCCAGTTGTGGCCACCTGTAGTAAGTCTCACAATCTAGAATGTCACCCCCAGTATTAGCAGGGCAGCCACCGTGAGCACCCTGAGTCAGATTCACCTCTCCCCACCAGGGCTGCCAGCATAGCTGGTCCTGTTGCTAGAAGCGGATTAAGGCTGAGGGTACCCGGTTGGTAGGGCCTTCCTTAGCGTTGTGAAGCGCCGGGTTGGAAACCAAGCAGTTCGTAACTGGGCATCACGGCACACACCTGAGATACCAGCGTTCGGGAGGGACAGAGCTTCAAGGTCATTCCTGTGTAAGCATCAAGTCTGAGGGCGACTTGGAACTCACGCAGGTCCCTATCTCAAAGATGAAAAACTGCAAGCTTGCCTGTGGCTGAGGACCGATGGGGCCTGTGACTAAACCTTGTACATGTGTATGGTTTCCGCTTACGTTTTGGTCCAAAAGTTGGAACTGGGGGAGGAAGGGCAGGGGAAGAAGTGAGGGAAAGGAAGGGACCGGGACAGCTCCCGAAGCCAGTGGGTAGCGATGGGCTGTAGGTACCGTCTCTCACTCGTGCCTCTGTCCTTGCAGGCGAGTCGGTGGCCAGCTCTATGCATTCCTCCCGCTACCCAAGCCCAGCCGAGCTGGATGCCTACGCAGAGAAGGTGGCCAACAGCCCCCTGTCCATCAAGATCTTCCCCACCAACATCCGAGTGCCGCAGCACAAGCACCTGAGCCGCACGGTCAACGGCTATGACACCAGCGGCCAGCGTTACAGCCCCTACCCTCAGCACACCTCTGGCTACCAGGGCCTGCTGGCCATCGTCAAGGCTGCCGTCTCCTCCAGTGCGGCTGCGCCCTCCGGGCACACCAAAAGCGTGCTCAAGAGCGTGGAGGGCAAGCGGACTAAACTGTCACCGGCCACCGTGCAGGTGGGCATCGCACCCTACCCGGTGCCCAGCACCCTGGGGCCCTTGGCCTACCCGAAGCCACCCGAGGTACCTGCACCACCCCCCAGCCTTCCTGCAGCAGCCACTGCCACCTCTGTGATCCCTCTGCCGGGCCGGGGCCTGCCTCTGCCCCCCTCCAACCTACCTTCGATCCACAGCATCCTGTACCAGCTCAACCAGCAGTGCCAGGCCCCGGGCGCTGCACCAAGCGCCTGTCAGGGCGTGGCTGTGCCCCACCCCAGTCCAGCCAAGCATGGCCCCGTACCCAGTTTTCCTAGTGTGGCTTACTCGGCCACAGCTGGTTTGCCAGACTGCCGGAAGGGCACGGAACTGAGCCAGGGAGCCACACCAGCCCTGACACTGGCTGGAGCCACCAAACCTGCAGGGTATGCAGAAGGCGGCCTGGATTACCTGCTGTGGCCACAGAAGCCGCCCCCTCCCCCGCCCCAGCCGCTGCGGGCCTACAGTAGCAACACTGTAGCCAGCAAGTCCCAGTCCCCAGAGACTTGTGGCGGGAGGGCATTCGAGAGGGCCAATGGGTCCCCCCACAACTGCGGCATGGGGCTGCCTGGCAGCTTCACCGTAGGCCAGTACTTCGCTGCCCCTTGGAACAGTGTTCTGGTGACACCTACCAGTGACTGCTATAATCCAGCAGCTGCTGCCGTAGTGACAGAGCTGGGACCAGGAGCGGCCCGGGAGCTAGCCGGGCCTCCTGGAGATGCACTCTCAGGCCTGACCAGCAAGAGTGTGTGTAACACAGCGGTACTGAGCAGCAGCCTCCAGTCACTGGAGTATCTCATCAACGACATCCGGCCACCCTGTATCAAGGAACAGATGCTGGGCAAGGGCTATGAGACGGTGGCCGTGCCCCGGCTGCTGGACCACCAGCACGCCCACATCCGCCTACCTGTCTACAGATAAGGTCTGCCCTGCGGGCACACGGACAGATGGACAGGGTGCTGGGGGTTGGCGGGCCATAGCACAGAGCAGGAAGCTAGCAGGGCACCCCGCTCACCCTGTGTCCACAGGGAAGCCAGGCTGGTTACCGCCTCACTGCGAGATGGGCAGGTAGGTCGACCTCACACACCAGGGCTCCTCCCCCGACTTGCTGCCCCAGGAAGCAGGGAGAGTCCCGGGCTGGCTACAAGGCTCGTCCTTCATCCAGGCAGGGAGAGAGGACCTTCTGCAAACAAGAAGTTCCTTCTGGGTCTCAAGCAGAGGGGTGCTCCGGCCATCCTGTGTCATACACTGGGTCCCCACCCATACTCTCCCAGTCTCGGAAAAGGAGCAGAGAGAATCCATAGCAGGTCCCTGGGTCCAAAGTGCCCCACCCCCACCAACTAATCCAGGTGAAGACCACCCTGACTCCAGACTCCCAGAGGCCTCAGGACTACCAGCCCCCTGTTCCTGCCGACTCTTCCCCTTCCCGCCCACCCTACTCTGTACGCCCCAGACCACCCTCTTCCCCATCCCCAACAGTATATCTCACAGGGCTGCTGGGAACAGCTGGTGCGTTGCACAAGGGCACCTTGCCCAAGGAGATTCCACTCGCATCCTAGATTTGTGTATTTATTACAACTGTCTGCATTTAGAGGAAGGGACAGCTTCTTCCTATTCGCACAAAGATGTCACGGGGCGGAGGGGCTAACGAGGGACCTGTAAATTCAGGCTCCGTTTGCAAGGACGATCTTGCCTTTCTCCGCGTGTCAGGGTCTCCTGGGGACCAGTGGGAGGGTGACCCGGCTATAACTGGAATAATCCAGCTCCTATTCTGCATCCCCCCCTCCCCCTGCACTGCTTTGGGGGTGGGGGGAATAAATAAGCCCAGGAAGTCCTCAAGGCCTGCAGTCCCCTGGCCCCGCCGGCCCCAGGCGTTCCGGAAGCGGTACTGTATCTCTCCAAGGCCTGTCTCAGCACTAAGTGCATTTACAAATCTCTGAGAATGTTTTTTTTATACTAAAATTGACCATTTTATTCTACTGTGAGAAGTGCAGTCTGTCTGCACTATATTGTTTTAAAAACGAAGAGAACGGAAAAAAAAAAAGGAAAACAGATGGTGTCTCAGCTGTGGGTTTGCTGTGAAGCTGTTCTCTCTCTAGCCAGCTCCTTCATCTCAGGGATCCACGGGAGGGCACCCCAGGGAGCCTTGTGGGGGCAGGGTGGGGTGGCACGCAGGGTGTACCATGCCCAAGTTATTACAAAGCTCTTCAAGGTGAGTGCTATCCTGTGTCTTATGTGTCACCTTACAGGAGGGTGGCCCATGGTCCAGCTACAGGGGCAAAATCAATCCTGAGCCCTGGGGTGGCTCTCAAAACCCCCCATCGGAAGTCCTTCCCTAGATCCTGTTCATTACCCTCCCAGTTTAAGTGGTGGCAGTGTAGCTGAGAACAGGCTAGCCATCGTCCAGGCCAGAATGGATTATGCCAGTCGACACCTGGCATATATCCATACCCTGCCAGTCCTGTAACTGGAGCTTGTCACTCACCAGAGACCAGTTGTACCTCCCAGAGACTCACAACATCCTTGTAAGGTGGGAAGTCAGCCTGAGGTTACACTCCCATAGGCCAGGTATCCCCATGGAGAAAGCCAAGAGGACTGCCTGTCCTACCACCTGCAGGGGTCAGAGCACACCTGTCCTGCCACCTGCAGGGGTCAGAGTGCCCAGCAGGATGGCAGCCTGGAAGAAGAGTCCCACCCACCCCCCAGCATGAGGGCTTCCTTGTGCCCTGTCCCCCACCCATGCCTTCTTCTCCCCAGTCCAAGAGCCGGATGGACCTCTGTGCTGAGAAAATTCGGAATCTCCAATCTAAGGCAACCCTCCTGCCCCACATAGGACCCAGAGGAAGAATACTGCTCGCTCCAGCCAGGACTCCCAAGTCAGCCAGGCCCTCAGCTGGGGCCACAGACTCCCGAAACCTTACAGCCACCCACGGTCTGTCTGTCAAGGAAATGGAGACTCAGCATCTGTATGTGGGCAAGACCAGGCTTCTCTGCGGGAAGATCATGAGCCAGGCACCTCTGCTAGCTAGCCCATGGGGTATGGGAGACCAGGATGAAATCACGGCAGAGAACCAGCAGGTGACATGAATGACCTTAGCGGCCCTATTAGACGAGGGATGAGATCACCTCTTTTCCCAGAGTGGGCACAGTACCCAAGGATAATAATGACACACCACGCTGCCTAAAACCAAAGCCAGTGGGACACTCAGAGCCAGGACAGGCGGAGCAGACAGACAGGGTCTGAGCCCCATGGCCACACTGAGCTGTCCTGAAATATTCCTCAAAGGACTGCAGTGAAAACCAGGGCGTCGGAGACATCAGGAGTGGCGATAGAGGGCAGGAAGACCAGTCTGCTATCTGCGGGGGTCTGAGTTCAGAGCACCCAGCAGGGCATGAGCCTAGGCCTGGGAGCCCACAGAGCAATCTGCCCTGAGGCTGGGTTCCGTCTCCCTGGGCCTCAGTTTCCCCTCTGGGAGCTAAGATGGCTGACCCGAAGAGCACTCTAGGTGCTGTGGCACGGACCCATGCTTTCACAGTGACCCTGGTCATAACCAGACAGGACAGTCTTGGGACAGGTAAAGTCACCAAAGTGAGGGAAGGCGGCACACCCACAGTCAAAGGCTCGGGGACTAAGCAAGTTCCGTGTGCAGAGTGCTCTGCAGAGGTGAAGCTCCTGAGCTGCCGAGCAGCCCTCCCAGCCACTCCCCGCTCCTAGCTGCTCTGTGCATGGCTGAAAGCATCAAACAGGCCGCGGGTTTTATTTGCCTTCAGAACCAAGGGCTGGTCTACATGGTGGGGGTAGCCAGGTGGTAACAGCCTCCTCCACCCTCTCTTACCCCAGCTATGACTGTCTCTGTTCTACATGCCAAGAACTCTCTCCCCCACCCCAACCCCGGAACTATCTTGGGCACCCATGTCTCCAGGCTGAGCGGGTGATCAGGGATGTGGTACCACATCCATGATTATAGTGGTAAAGCCACCAAAGGGGCAACTTCTGCATCTTACCAGACCAGGGCAGGTCTGAGAGCAACTGGGTGGGACAGATACCAGATCACAGGACAGACACCTTAGGCTCCACCCCCCAGCCCTGCCCAAAAACAAGAAACTGCACCCTAGAGACATCACACTGGCATATTAAAGGTTCTGAAGAGGCCTGAAGGCTACACACCCTTTAGCTTAGCCCACTATCCTGTCAACATCTGAACTTGAGGGTTTTTTTTTTTTTTCTATTAAAGCCCCAGGGAATGGAGGGCTCAGGAAACTTCCTGTGCTGCAGTGGAGGAAAAAGGAAGAGTGCCTTCTTCCTGGGCCTCAGTTTCCCCAGTTGTAACACAGCATAACGTGCTGTGGTTACAGGGAGGAAAGACTTGAATCCAACCGTGGTCAGGAGTCCCGGCCTCAGCTGACCCCACTGCATCCTATCAGGAGGGGAGGACGGTGCAGCAGATGACCCCTCTGAACACCCATCTGTCGGCTTGAGGCGGGAGGGAGCTCACTACATAGCCTGGCCTTCAACTCATCCTCCTGCCTGAGAAGGCAGGTCCTGAGATCACGAGTATGTCCTAGCACACCCAGATGAATATGATCTTGAAGAAAAAAAACCTGAGGCCCAGGGAGGAAAGACAGCTTGCCTGCCATCATGGGGAATTTGATCCTAAACCTTCCAGAAACTAGGCCACCTTCTCACAGAACATAGGCTGCTCCCAAGCCCAGGGTCCCCAGGTGTCTCTTTGGCCATTTCTGAGAGGCCCCAGGTGTGACCACAGCTGACCCCAATTACGGCCGCCTGGGAAAGTTAGCACACTGGTTGTCGATAAACTTGGGCACCTTTGTAGAGGTGAGACTAAATTAAAAAAAAAATCCTTGCCAGGCGGTGGTGGCGCACGCCTTTAATCCCAGCACTCGGGAGGCAGAGGCAGGCGGATTTCTGAGTTCGAGGCCAGCCTGGTCTACAGAGTGAGTTCCAGGACAGCCCGGGCTATACAGAGAAACCCTGTCTCGAAAAACCAAAAAAAAAAAAAAAAAAAAAATCCTTGTGGGGCTGGAGATACTGCTCGGTGTGGCACTTGCTCACAAGTTCTGGGTACCCACACCCACCCCCAAACTCCCAAGAAGGCTACTAGAAAGTGAGCCCCGTAATAAGACAGGTCTCAGGTTTGAGTCCTGCCTCTGGCACATCCTCACTGTATCTACCCTGGAGTGGTTTCCATCATTTGGTCTCACCGCTTTCTCTGTAAGATGGAAGTTAAGGCGTCGTGCTTCCTACCTACATGGTGAGTGACAGAAACCCTGGCTTCACTCACTAAAGAGCAGAAAATGCATCCTCTCAGATCCTGAGACACCTTAAGGGCAGGGTAGCCTAAGTCATATGGAGCTCAGTGGGGTCACCGGGGCCTTATACGCTTTTAATCATCGTCTTTATTGTTATGAAGAGACACCATGACCACAGCATTCTAAAGGAGCGCATTTAACCGGGGGCTGGCTTACAGTTTCAGAGGCTTTGTCCCTTATCATCTTGGCAGGGAGCCTGGTGGCAGGGAGCCTGGCGGAAGGCAGACGTGGTGCTGGAGAAGTAGCTGAGAGCTACATCCTGAGCCTGATATGGGCTCTTGAAACCCCAGAGCCCTCCAGTCAGTGACACACTTCCTCCAACAAGGCCACACCTGCTCTAACAAGGCCACATCTGCTCCAGCAAGGCCCCACCCACCCCAAGGCCACACCTGCTCCAGCAAGGCCCCACCCACTCTAACAAGGCCACACCCACCCGAACACGGCCAACCTCCTAACAAAGCCACACCCACCCAGCAAGGCCACACCCACTCTAACAAGGCCACACCTACCCGAGCAAGATCACACCCACTTTAGCAAGGCCACACCCTTGAACAAGACCACACCTACTCTAACAAGGCTACACCTACCCCAACAAGGCCACACCCACTCTAATCAGACCACACCCACCCAGTAAGATCACACCTAGTCTAATGAGGCCACACCCCAGCAAGGCCACACCTACTCTAGGAAGGCCACATCCAGCAAGGCCACACCCACTTTAGCAAGGCCACACCCACTCTAAGAAGGTCTCACCCACCTCAGCAAGACCACACCATCTCTAGGAAGGTCACACGGCTCCTAGCCTGGCTTCTCCACACACCCGCTTGGCTCTGCAGTCCCTATGGTGTGGGTCTCTGCTGTCCCCAGTTCTCCCATCCTCTTACTTCCACTCTCTCTTTTGGGAGATCCGCAGACCTCATTGGCCCCAGGGACTCCGGGGCCTCAGAAAGAAAAGGTTCAGGAGGTACCTAGCTCTCAAGGACATGCTTTGGGGAGCCAGAGTACAGGTAAAGGCACAGGGTGCACCCCACAGGAGCCCACCCACAGGAGCCACAGGCATGGAGGTCACATCATCCGCTCCGGGAGTTCGAGTTCAGATCCCCGGTCCTCCTCTAAATAGTAGAACCCTGAGAGGGTTCTCTTGACCAAACCCCTTTGCTTTGGTCTCCATTATTGTATTTGTATCCATTATTTTCCAGAAATCTTGAAACCTTAGATGGGGTTGGGGGTGGGGAGACAGTGTTCGTCACACATGCTGTACGCATGCCCATCCCCAGTGACTCCTCCAGGAAAGTAGATAGAGGTCCCTGAAGGGAGAGGGCTCCAAGAGAGCCCCGGGGGCCAGGGGAGTGGGATCACCTGAGTGGCAGCTGACTGTCAGGGTGTCATGCAGAAGCCACCTGGAGAGACAGAAGCCATGAACGCACGGTGCTGGGTTCAAATCTCACCTCCTCCACCGCTGGCGGCCCTGGCGAGGGTCCTGGCATCTGCCGGGCTTGACTGGGTTCTGTATCCGGTAACAGTAGCTGACTGCACTATTTAAAACAAACCAAAGGGCTAGAGAGATGGCTCAGTGGTTAAGAGCACTGGCTGCCCTTTCAGAGGATGTGGGTTCGATTCCCGCACCCACGCGCCTCACCCTCTGTAACTCCTAATGCAAACCCTCTTCTGGCCCCCACAGGCACTGCAGGGACAACAATGATAAAAATAAATCCCTTTTTTTAAAAAAGAGAGAACTCAGCAGTATCTAAACTGGTTCATTCCGCAGGCATCTGTGGTTTTTTTCTTCTTTTTTTTTTTTCTTTTCTTTTTTTTTTGTGAGCTCTGCAAAGTTGCTCGGGCCACGTGATTCATCCTTGGCTTAAGGCAGGCCACGAAGGGTCTGCTCACACCCCATTGACCAACACACAGCACATGGTTAAGCTCAGGTGTTGGAAATTACACTCTGCTCTCAGCAGGACTAACGAGGGGCCTGGACGAGAAGTGGGACGTGACGTCACACACCTGCTGTACCTGCACGTGGGACGTGGAGGCAGGATTGAGAGTTCAAGGCCAGCCCGGGATCCGGGGCAGAAATAACACATAAAAATAAAGGGAGAGGCTGTTGTGCAATCTAGCATACGTGGTGTGGTGCAGGCTAACTTTCCTGGGATGGTCCTGCCTTGGGGGTGGGGTGACCCTGACAAAAACCACGTCTGACCAATGAGAGAGCATTCTGCCCCTCCCAGCTCTCAGAGAGCTGCCCCAGTAAGAGGCAGCCCCCGAATTGCCAACCTCGTAGGCCAATACCCGAGCAATCCTGACTGGGGTAAAACCCACACAAAATCAGCTGTGGCTGAGGCACGGAAGACTCTGGAGCCGCCTGGATCCAGCCATGCCTGACACCAGCCCCGCATGGTCATTTTCAGTCTTATGGGCCACTTTATGAGTTGGGAAGCTGAGTTAGGGCGCTGGTTCGCGGCCAGCCTAAGCTACAAAGCATGCTTAAGGCTGATCTGGGCAAGCCAGCAGGACTCAGTCACCAACTCATACTCCGACATCTTGTCACGTACAACCGGAAAAGTTATGTCTACCACTTGGGGGGTATATTAGGGCTACCAGCTTAGGCCAGAGAGATGGCCTCAAGGCTGTCTTGAGTTCAATCCTCAGTAGAGGGAGGAACTGATTGTCTTCTGACATCATGGCGGGTGTGCCCACCCCACACACAAAATAAATAAATGTTACAAATTTTATTTTAAAAGAAGGACTGGAGAGATGGCTCAGTGATCCTAGATCCAAGCCGGCTTGGGTCACAAGACTCACACACAAGTCGGCTTTACGTGGTCTGTAACTCCAGTTCTGGGGATCTGATCCCCCTTCTGGCCTCTGCAGGTACTGCATGCTCATGGTAACATGTATCCGCAAAACACTCGTGTGTGTGTGTGTGTGTGTGTGTGTGTGTGTGTGCGTGTAAACTAAGAGTACAACTTTGCTGAGCAGTGGTGGCACACGCCTTTAATCCCAGCTCTTGGGAGGCAGAGACAGGCGGGTTTCTGAGTTCGAGGCCAGCCTGGTCTACAGAGAGAGTTCCAGGACAGCCAGGGCTACACAGAGAACCCCTGTCTCGAAAAACCAAAAAAAAAAAAATACACACAAACACACACATATAAGAAGCCACACTAGAATAAAAGCAGGAAGAACAGAATCCAGATGGGGTGTCACAGAATCCCGAAGGATTCTGTTAGGAAAGGTGGGATTGTACCATCTATGAGAACCTCTAGAGACTCCTGTACATCGGCCACTGGAACTCTGAGACACAAGAGCACCTGGAGCTGGGGTATCTTCATAGACTTGGTCCTGAGCAAACACCCCTGCGGTTTGTTCAAAGCACGGAAAGGGTGAGGTGAGGCTTGGTGATAGAGTGCTTGCTGAGCGTGCTTGAGACCCTAGATTCCGCCCCAGCACCTCACCACTGGAGAAACAACATGAGCCTCGGGCTGGGAACAGCAAGTCTACATCCCAGTCATAAACTGATTTGTGAATTATGACGTCATGTTGAGTCGTTGTGACATCACTGCCCAACTGTGTCATCACAGGCCGTCGTTGGTTATATATTCCAAATGAAACAGCTAATTCTCAGAGCATGCCGGCTTGGTGATACAATACCACAAATTCCCCACAAAATAGCGTCTCACAGATCACTAGCTCAACAGGGGTTGGGGGGGGAGACAAAATTCACAGAATGGCCCCCAACTAGGTGGATCACTTTCACACCATTGTGGAATCCGAAAATTTTAATCAGAACCATCCGAGCTGGGGACTGTGCTCAGGCAAACTGGCATGTATAAGCTGTGGGACCAGGTGTGGTGTCTGTCATGTTTTTTTTTCAGTTTTTTGAGACAGGGTTTCTCTGTGTAGCCCTGGCTGTCCTGGAACTCACTCTGTAGACCAGGCTGGCCTCAAACTCAGAAATCCACCTGCCTCTGCCTCCCAAGTGCTGGGATTAAAGGCGTGATTAAACTTGAACCTCCATTTTCTTTTCTTTTATGTATATGAGTACACTGTCTCTGTCTTCAGACACACCAGAAGAGGGCATCAGATCCCATTACAGATGGTTGTGAGTCACTGTGTGTTTGCTGGGAATTGAACTCAGGACCTCTGGAAGAGCAGTCAGTGCTCTTAACCTCTGAGCCATCTCTTCAGCCCAACTCGAACCCTTTTTGATTGATAGTCTCACTATGCAGACCAGGTTGGTCTCGAACTCACAGAGCTCCGTCGGCCCCTGCCTCTGAGGCTTGAGCCACCATGCCTGGCTAAAGAAAAACAACAACAACCCTTTAACGTCCCCTAAATGAAACATAGCCTTTCTTGGTGACATTGCTGAAGGTCCTCTGGAGTGGACAGAAGGACTGTAGCACACTGCAGCCTCTCTGGTCAGAGGGCCATACTGCTTTGACCCACTAGGGGTCACCATCTCCTTGTTTCCCTGAGCCAGGGAGGCAGAGGCTATCATCACCATGCCCCAAGGATGTCGAAAATTCCTGAGGCAAGGCTAGAGCCCAGTTCTCTGCTCCGAAAGAGAGAGCCTTCTGGAACTTTCTCCCACATGTTCTTCAGTGTTCCAAATGGGAGGGGCACTCAAGATAGACAGGGCCCTCCCTGTGTCTCCAGTACCTACCTTCCAGGAATAGCCAGGAGCCATCTTGTCTTCTGATCACTCAAAGAGCAAGCCCAGAGCCTGGACTTAAGTATGCAGGTGTTTCCATGTCAGCCAGAGTCAAGGAAGGATGACAGTGAGCTGTCAGTCCTGTCCTGTCCTGTCCCCCCACCCTGCTCCTCCCTCCCCCCACACTCAGGTCCTCACCTGCCCCAGCTGCTTCTGTCCCAATGTCCAGCCCAAGAGAGAGACCCCTGGCTTCCAGCTGCTGCCCTGTGGTTCTGGGGAGCTTCAGCCCAGCTGGTCACCCTGCCTCCTGGTCACAAGATGGCCTCAGCCCTGACATGACACCCAAAGTGACTGCAATGGTTTCTGGGACTCCTGCTGAGAGCCCTTAAGCAGATAGCCCTTTGGCTGCTTCTCGCGGACCAGCTGTAAGAGAACCCAGGGCGCCCACAGGCAGAGGGGGAGCTGGTCCTCGGGAAGGATGGTGAAGGCGTGGCTTCCTCCCCACACAGTGGTACACTGGCCATCATCTTTGTCTTTCTGACAAATAAGGACAGAGAGGCTCAGGAGGGTAAGAGACCACACGTCACTCTCCAGCCATGGCCAACGGCTAGGAAGACGGGGAAAGTTGGTCCCTGTGGGTCCTGGACTCTGTCCACTGCAGCTGCCTCGCCAGACATCAGTGCTCCCTGCGGCTGCTTCGGGGAGGATGGGAGCCACTCGCCTGAGCCAGGGAGGTCACAGGGGACACCGGCCAGCTAGGGACTCCTCTGTAGACAGGCTGCAGGTGTGTGGGGACCTCTCCTTGTGCCAGGAGAGCAGAGTGTCCCACCAGCACCGCCCAATGCTTCTCCGTCACCAGGATCACCATGCCTATCAGTGTCCCCCCTCCCTGACCAGCACTGTGACTCCCCAGGGAGTCACACTCCTCCCTCATCCCTGCCTCCCACAGCACTTCTCCATCCCTACCCACCTCTGAAACACCATCATCACCAGCATCCCACCCTCTGCCCCATCAGTTCTGCTCATTTCACCGTGACCACGCCCACCACCTCATCACTTTCACCGTGACCACGCCCACCACCAGCCTTCCCCTCTGGTGCCTATTCTCAACCACAGAGTCGCGCAGTTGTCCCACACCCTTTGGTGCCTTGTGCCCGCTACTCTCTCCCCACTTCTGACCTCACCCCCCCACTGTGTCCACCAAGAATAAACCAACGTTTATTGAGCACCAGCGGCCCCCGATCTCTACAAAGTCCAGAAAACCCACGCTAGCCAGGGCTGCAGCGGGTCAGATCCGCAGTGGGTCGGGGCTGCAGCGTCCCCTGGCCAGGTTCCAGCTGCGGGTGGACCCCCGCCATGCCATTTTCCTGAGGAGAGCAATAAATAATACACAAGAGAGATAGGGGCCTGAGCCCTGTGCGTGGAGGGGCCCTGAGCTGGCTTAGGCGACTCCATGGGAGTGAGACAGGTAGCCAGGAGCCCCGTCCCTCTTGTGGAGGGGAGTAGAGCTGAGAGCAAAAGTCTTGGCGGGGACCAGAGGGTCCTGGGGCCTCCCCAGAGTCTTCACAGAGGCCCTCACCTCCGAGGTCCCATGTGTGTGTGGGAAGACACGGGACAAATGCTGAAATGTAAGTGTAGCCAGGGCCAACCTGGGCTATCTGCCCCAGCCCTGGCAGGGCTCCTAGAGCGGAGCGTCCTCCGTCCTCCACTTGGGAGCATAACCCTGCTGGTGGCCGTCACAGTTGGGGTTCCCTAGGTTATCCAGGGGCACCACCACTTCATCTGCGCTCGAGTTCTTGTTCAGCTCCACCACGCGGGGCACCACCGAGGACCAGCGATCTGGACAGTGAATACAGGGCGGGCGGGAGGGAGAGGGTGAGCGGACCGTGCGAGCATTGAGCGCCACTGTGTCCTGGGCACTGAGAGGAGTATTAGGAGGGTAATAGGCGCGTTTTACGGAGGTGAGAAGGGATTCAGAGAAGTCAAGATGCCCGCCCAGGCTCACACAGGGAGGAAGAGAGATCGAAGCTGTCACAACCCCCTGGGGGCCGTTTACCTCCACGCCTCTTGTGATTAAGGCTTAGTTAAAAAATAATAATAAAAACAGAAAGGACCTCTCCCCCACAGGGCTGCCCAGAATCTCTCCTCGGAACAGGGAGGGCTGAGGTGGAACCTGCCCGGTGCAGCGGGGGACCTCACCGGCAGCCCCGCCCACCCTCCGCTCCCTGGACAGAACAGCTCAGAAGAACAGCCCGCCTACCACCTCGTCTCCCGCTCTCAGTGCCACGCTCACCCCTACGGAGGCGCCCCACGGTGTGCGAGAAGCCATAGTACTGGTAGGTCTCATTCTTGCCGGGGTCCTCGTTAATGATACCCAAGTTCTGGTTCCAATGAGACCAGTTCACCTCGTCCACCCTGGCAGAGAGAAGCAGAGTTGTTTGGGTTTTTTTTTTTTGGGGGGGGGGCTACCACACTGCTTCCCGCCCCATCCCCAGGTCATCTCTCTGAGTCAGCATTTCCCAGCATGCCCTCCTCACACAACTAGATCTCCCCTCCATCTCCACTGCTGTTTCCCAGGTTCGCTTGTTCCAACCATTTTCTATCAATGGAATCATAAGCCATGTGACCTTTCACGGCTGGCTTCTTTCATTTAGCGTATTTTTAAGGTCCATCCACCCTGTGGCAGGGATAAGAACTTTATTCTTTTTAACGGCCAAATAATATTCCATCGTATGGATATACCACAGTCTGTCTAGCCATTCCTTGATGGATACAGTCTTTGACAACGTTTCCCCTTTTTACTAGGACATTGGTAAAGTCTGGTGACGGTCTCGTGGGAAAGATTTGTGCAGTTTCAACGTTGTTTTTTGTTCTTTTCTGTACAACTTCTATTTGATGAGCATATTGCACTGAGCAAGGGAGACGCATTTACTGTTACCATCTTACTGATGAGGAGCCCAGGGTCTGCGTTTTTCTGAAGGTTACGACACTGGAAACAGTATCCAGTGGGGGTGCCTCTCTCTTCTCATTTCAACCGCAGTACCTAACCTCGCCCATAGGGGGCAGTCAGAGGGTGATGCATTGAGACGAGCGTGCTTCACCTCCGTCAGCCTCACTGAGGGGCCATGGAGCCCCCAGGCATCAACACCTCCCAGCATGTATAGATGACAGCTTCCAAGTCATTGTGCCCAGCTCACACTCTAGGCAGGCTTGCGCTGGGTTCGAAACTCAGACGCACAGGACAGGAGCTTGTCCTCCCTGGAGCCCGTCCCTCCGGATCTCACCTGAAGCACCACCTGCGGTCTGGAGTGCCATCCGAGCTCTTGCCCACGGTCACCATCTCTCCGGAGCGGAAGGCCTTCCTCAGGAACACGGGGAAGGAACGCTCGATGTCCAGGATGGTGGTGGCCCACTGCCGGGGATGGGGGAGAGAATCACAGGTGCTAAATTTACCCAGCAGGCACCTGGTTCTCAACAACCACGGGCCAAATAAACTCAGCACCCCCACACCCCCCATCCCGTTAAGACAGGGTCTCATGTAGCCCAAGCTAGCCTCAAACTCTGCTTGTACACCCGCAGACCAGAAGGGGGCACCAGATCTCATTACAGATGGCTGTGAGCCACCATGTGGTTGCTGGGAATTGAACTCAAGAAGAGCAGTCAGGGGCTGGAGAGATGGCTCAGTGGTTAAGAGCACTGACTGCGCTTCCAGAGGTCCTGAGTTCAAATCCCAGCAACCACATGGTGGCTCACAACCATCTGTAATGAGATCTGATGCCCTCTTCTGGTGTGTCTGAAGACAGCTACAGTGTATTCATATATAATAAATAAATAAATCTTTAAGAAAAAAAAAAGAAGAGCAGCCAGTGCTTTTTTATTTTTATTTTTTTCCCCCGAGACAGGGTTTCTCTATATAGCCCTGGCTGTCCTGGAACTCACTCTGTAGACCAGGCTGGCCTCGAACTCAGAAATCCGCCTGCCTCTGCCTCCCAAGTGCTGGGATTAAAGGCGCGAGCGCCACCACTGCCAGCCTAGGCAGTGCTCTTAACCACTGAGCCATCCCTCCAGCCCACTACCGTGGTCTTTAAACAACGGTTCTTAGGTGGGCCTGGCCTCAAGAGCCTCATGCCTAGAATAACCTCTATAAACCTGTCCCATTGCCGTCCGCAGAAAGGCTACGAGCTGGGATTTAAAAGGGGTGGGGGAAGGTCCCTCCATTTTTTTACACTAAAAATTTGAAAATAGGGTGGTCTGGGGAGACTGAGGCCCAGAGAAATACAACGTGTGAAAGCTATGTGCAGACCAGAGGGTGGGGGTGACCTTGGGTTTGACGTGCACCGTGAATTTCCAGATGTGCGGATGCACACGGCCCTGGAGTCTGTTTCCCAGAATCTCAAAGAACCCCCTTTAGGGGAGCAGCTTGCCAGCCACAGGCTACTCCATCCCTGAGTGGTGGGGCAGCAATGAACTTCACGGAGCAGATCAAACCCACCCACAGGAGAATACTGAGACCGCCACTAGGGGGCGCCGCAGACACACTTGGCTGTTTTAAACCTAGCGCTCCATCGTCTTCCAGCTTGTTTGAGACAGGGTCTCCTGTGCTGTCTGTACACCAGGCTAGCCGGTCTGCCTTCAGGATTCTCCTGTCCCAGCCTCCCATCCTGCCATAGAAGCCAGGAGTATAAAGATTATATAGAGACCTGAACTCCCACAAATGGTTTGAGAGCTTTCCAAAATGGTTCGGGGGATCCGAACTCAGGTCCTTTCGCTTGTTGCGCGTCAAGCGCTTCACTCTGTGAGCTAACTCTCCAGTCCCTAGTCTCATTCTGAATCAAGATGGGGCATCGGCTCGGCGCAAAACCCATTAAAACGCCCCTGCTGCCTACTGTGGTTTGAATGCACCCCTAAAAGTTCCTGAGTTCCTGTGTTGATGGGGTTTGAAGTGTGGGGCATTCAGTGCAGTCAAGGTTGAGGTTAGATGAGGCCTGTGGTGGAGCGTCCTGCTCTGCCTCATGGCCCTCCACCATGGCGGGATGAAGCAAGGAGGCTCTCAGCAGATACAGCGCCATACTTGAACTTCCCAGCCCCCAAAGCTATGAACCAAATGAAGCAGCAGCTGCTGCTTCTCCTCCTCCTCCTCCTCCTCCTCCTCCTCCTCCTCCTCCTCCTCCTCCTTCTCTTCTTCTTTTTGGAGACAGGGTTTGGTTTGTATATGCTTGGGCTAGGGAGTGGCACTATTTGGAGGTGTGGCCTTGTTGGAGTGGGTGTGTCATTGTGGGCGTGGGCTTTAAGACCCTCACCCTAGCTGCCTGGAAGTCAGTCTTCTCCTAGCAGCCTTCAGATGAAGATGTAGAACTCTCAGCTCCTCCTGCACCATGCCTGCCTGGATGCTGCCATGTTCCTGCTTTGATGATAATGGACTGAACCTCCGAACCTGTAAGCCAGCCCCAATTAAATGTTGTTCTTCCTAAGACTTGCCTTGGTCATGGTATCTCTTCACAGCAGTAAAACCCTAAGACAGAGTTTCTCTGTGTAGCCCTGGCTGTCCTGGAACTCACTCTGTAGACCAGGCTGGCCTCGAACTCAGAAATCTGCCTGCCTCTGCCTCCCAAGTGCTGGGATCAAAGGTATGTGCCACCACTGTCCAGAATCTTTATTTTTAATAAACCAACCTATTTTAGGGATTCATGTGACGGTGACGTGAAAACATAAGTGGACTCTCTGAGCATGCTCAGTGCTGACAGCTGAGTTTGAGCATGCGCAGTGCTGACAGAGGCCATGAGATTATGCTGAAGGGAGCCAGCCGGGTCCCCTGAGCAACGCCACAGCTGAAATGGAAGGAACTAAACGGAAGGGAGAGGGAGGAGGGGTATTAGAGGAGAAGGGAGGGGACGGCGCGAGGAGGAGGACGGATGGATGAAGCGATTCTAAGACACAGGCGGCGGCCTCACCTGCAGCTTCCAGATGTGCTTGCTCTCCTTCGACACCTGGCCCACGGTCTCCCCCATGAGGGCGATGAGCATGTTTAGCAGGAGCACGAAGGTCAGGATGATGTAGGTGACCAGCAGGAGAATGAAGACCACGGGGTACTTGGCGCTGCTCAGCATCTCCAGGTCACCCATGCCGATGGTGAGCTTGAAGAGGTCCAGGAGGAAGGCGCTGAAGGTCTCGCTGTCGCGGCACGAGGGATACGTGGGCACCGTGCAGTTGTTCTGGTCCTCGTCACAGACCTTCATGTTGGTGCATGGATTCAGGAGGGTGACCAGGGC